TGATTGGATCTTTACTTTATCTAACTGCAAGTAGACCATACATTATGTTTAGTGTTTGCTTATGTGCTAGATTTCAATCATGCCCTAAGGAATCACATTTACTAGCTGTTAAGAGAATCTTTAGATACCTTAAGGACACTCATAGTTTAGGACTTTGGTATCCTAGAGACTCTAGCTTTAGCTTGCATGCCTTTTCTGATGCGGATTATGGAGAATGCAAATTAGATAGAAAAAGCACCTCCGGTACTTGCCAATTCCTTGGAAATATGTTGATTTCTTGGTTTTCAAAGAAACAAAATTGTGTTGCATTATCTACCACTGAAGCGGAATACATTTCAGCCGGTAGTTGTTGTGCACAAGTTTTATGGATGAAACAATAACTTTTTGATTATGGAATTGAAGTAGGTACTACTCCTATTAAGTGTGACAATACTAGTTCTATTTGTCTCACTAAAAATCCCATCCAATACTCTAGAACTAAGCACATTGAAATAAGAAATCACTTCATTAGAGACCATGTCACTAAGGAAGATGTAGTTCTAGAATTTGTTGATACTTTGCATCAATTAGCGGATATCTTTACAAAGCCTTTAGACAAGGAAAGATTTTGGACACTTAGGAGAGAATTAGGTTTGAACAACCTATCTTCACTTAGTGTTTAAAATAATTTTAGCACTTTTAAGACTAAATGAAAAATGCTTATAATAGTAATTTTTGATTGCATTCATTGCTATTAGTTAGGGGGAGTTTATGATTCTTGATGAAAATTAACTTTATGTTCAAATATAGTTTAAAGATTAATTTGATTGTTTTAACATGATTAATTTTCAATATATGAGTTGCCAATACCACTAGAGAAAATTAATTTAGCATTTTGTGTGTTTAAAATCGGATTTTAGCATTTTTGGTGCAGAGGGAATCGATACCCCCCTTGAAGGGGAATCGATTCCCCCTAGGGGAATTGATACCCCATGAGGGTTCTGGTTTTATCGGGCAGAACCCTTATATTTTGCTCAAACTCTATATTTTTCTTCCTTTGCCGCCTATCACTCTCTTCATCTCTCAAATCTCCACTTTGCCTCAAAACAAGATTTTTAATCGGAATTCTCTTCAAATATCATCTCCTAAACCTGCTAGCATCATTAAAATCGTGCAAACAACATCAAAATCCACTCAATCTCATCTTTCAAGGTAAATTTTTCTAAACTCTCAATTTTATTGATTTTGAATATAAGACTAGTTTCAATTAGTTCTAGATAGAAATAATGATCGGGCATTGATTATTAGTGTTTAGAAACTAAAATTTTACAACTAATTTCATCAAAATCTCACAAATTTTCTATTAATTTTTGAATTTTCGAAATAAAAAAACGAAAATCATTAATTAATTTTAAAATTTATGCTTTTTTATGTAGTTATGTTATTTACATGTAAACTATACATACTATGGTTTATCAAACATTATTTTCAATAGTTTTTCAAAACTTTGCCCATTAGGATTTTATTTTAACCTTGAAATATTGAGAACTCAATTGAGTTTTGGGATTGATTGAATTGCATACATGTGTTTTCTAAATTGCGGTTATCCATTCTATTCCGATTTCCTAAACCATGTCCAATCCTAAACATGCTAGGTTATCATCTAGTTGCTCAAACCGTCAATCCAACCCACCTTCAAATCCTCCACCTATCTCTCCAATTCTTAATCCTAATCCCATTGATCCAAAATTGACTATCCAAAACTCGTGCTTCAATCATCCTGGTCTTAGAAATCATCGTTTTTGGTATTATCAATATTTTGACTCTTACAAAATTAGGGAAGAACGTATCCCATCTCTTCAGGCTATGATTGATATCAATTTTAGATATCTCCCTCTCCTGCGAGAGTGGAAATTTGATAAACTTTGTAACCTTGAACCTCAAGTCTTTCATCAACTTGTTCGTATCTTTTATTCTAATGCTGTTTGTATTAAAAATCAAGCTGAAACCAAAACAATAGCAGCTCGTTCTTATCTTCTTCTAGGACATACTTTCATCTTGATTCAGCTTACATTGCTAATGCATTAGGATTAGATAATGATGGTTTATCTAATGAAAAACAAATTTTAGGTTCTCGTTATAAAAGAAGGGATAATGCGAGTGTCTTAGATCTTCATGACCGTTTTCTTCATCTAATGATCACTTGGTGGTTTCGACCATCCGGAGGTCGTTACTCTACTCTTCGTGCTTTAGATCTTTGGTGGTTACATTGTTTCCAAAACAATATTAAAATAAATCTTCCTGAGATTATTTTTGCTGAAATTGTTGAAACCGTAAACCAAGTTCCAAATAAGAAACTTTGTTCTTCTCTAGTTTACGGTTGCATTCTGAGTAATCTATTTTCTAAAGTCGGGCTTAGAGTTGGTCTAGATGCCTCTTTTCCCCTAAAGAAACAAATCAATATCCTTTCCTTAACGAGATCGGGATGGATTAAGGATAAGCAAACTGGTGAATGGGTTCGAAGCACTGAGCATACTCCGGAAGCTAGTTCTTCACAAGCTCCACCGGCAGCTGACGACGATCCTGATCTTGAACAATTAATGCGAGATATCGATGAAGCCGAAGATGAGCCTGAGCAGCCCGAGGAGCAAGCATAACAAACGGATCCAATGCCTCCATATTTTCAATCTTTTATGGAGACGTTCGATTTCTGATATGCTACCATAGATTCGCGCTTTACTTCTATAGAGTCTCATTTATCCACAATGGGAGCTCAACAATTGGAAATTCTCCAAAAGATGCGTGCAAACAATGAAGCAACCAACGCTCGTATTAATACACTCACTCATGAAATGACAGCTATGCGAGCTCATTTCCCTCATCCCGATCCTCCTACGGATGCTTGAACTTTGATATTTGCTTTGCTTGTTTGGATTGAACTTGGATATTTGCATTATTCTTAAAACATTTTGAATGCTTTTGGATTGTTTATTTTTGGTTGTTCGAACTTATGTTTAATACATTTGATTTAGATTTCGTGTTTATTTTGCATCTTTAGACATATATGGCCAATTATCTATTACATGTTTATGAATATTGATTATGAAACTAATGGCTAACCTCTCTTTTGATTGTGATCTTAGCAGCTTAAGCTTTATATTAATAAATCAATTGGCTTACGTTTTTCAAAATTCTTGTTTAAAATGTTTTTATAGGGTCTTTTTTATTTAACAAAAAGGGGGAGAAAGTGTTAAAGTAAGGGGAGTAATATTTTTCAAAATCAAAATTCATTTTGAAATTAGAAAATCTTAAAATGTTTTGTTATATCAAAAAGGGGGATATTGTTGAAAACATTTTGATGTTTCGATATAACAAATTAAATTAAAAGAATTTTAATTTTGAAAATGATTTTTCTAAGCATATTCGATATATTAAATCGAATATCAAAATATTTCTCAAAGTATTTCAAAGTTTATTTTAAATCCTTACTAAAGTGTAAAATTAAGTTTTAATCTTAAAATAATTTCAAAACAATTTTACAAAGTATTTCGAACCGTTTCAAAGCCAAAAATTACAGTTTGTCCAGAGGGAACCGATTCCCCCCCAAGGGGTACCGATTCCTCCTGAATGGTTTTGCTCTGAGAAATTCCAGTATGCTCGGAGGGAACCGATTCGCCTCAGGGGGTATCGATTCCCCCACTGTTCAACGGTCGAATATTTGAATTTTACACTTAGGGAACCGATTCCCCAGGAGGGGGTACCGATTCCCCCCACGCTCCAAGCAGAAATATTAATTGTTTTCACACTTAAACGGCGCCAATAACTTCATTAATGATCCCCAACGTTCAGAAGTGATTCAAGGTGTATTTAAACAAGCTTAGAAGCCATTGATCAACAACAAGAAACATCAAGCAACTAGAATCAAGAGAGAATCAAAGAGAAATCATCAAACCTCAAGTTTGAGCATTTCAAGCCTATTTTTCATTCAATATTCATTTTGCTTTTAAGAACACTTATTGTGCTCAATTATATTTATTCTTGAGTGTTCTTTCTTTGTTCTAGAATTGTGCAAACATCTTACATTGTGAGGTTTTCTTGTAAGTTTGCGAAATTTGTAATATTCTCTTTGAGAAAGAGTGTTCTCAAGAATTGGGGTATAATTCTTGAGGGAGTTGTAAGGTTATCTCTTTGGCCTCAAAAGAAAGAACAAATTAGTGAATTTGTTGGAAAATCCTTAGTGTGGATAGCTAAGGTATTGGATGTAGACTTTGTTGAGAAAGTTGAACCACTATAAATCGCTATGCAATTACTTTCAATTTTCTGCAAAAGCTTCCACCAAAATTTTAATTGCCAATTCACCCCCCTCTTGGCCAATTCCATCGATCGATTAACTCAACAAACCTCATAAATATAATTGTGAAATTCTAGTCGATCTAGAATACTTAAACACAAAAATCTCATAATTTTCTTACTTAATCTCCCAAAACCGGATTTTCACCTATGAGCTTATTTTGTTATCGTCCTATTATTTTCCTAAATCAATTTGATAAACTTTGGTTACATTATGAGTCGAAAGCGAATTTGTTACAAAAATTTATAACAAATCTAATCTCAACCTAGTTTCTTATTGACTGCTAACATTCATGGGCGCAATCGAATTTCTTACTACGATTAACAATATATTCAGCTTTTAGCTTATTTTGTTACCATCCTTATTTTGATGAACTCATTGCTAAACTCTAGTAACATTTTTGGTAGAAACAAAATTTGTTAAAGCAACTTATAACAAGCCCAATCTCAACTTACTTTTTTTTATTGAACACTAACAATCATGGGCTCAACCATATTTCTTATCACGATTGATAATATTTCCAGTTTCCAACTTATTTTATTATCGTCTTTATTTTGATAAACCCATTTATTAAACATTGATAACATTTTGGTCGAATCCAGATTTATTAAAGCAACTTATAATAAACCCGATCTCAACTTACTTTCTTATCGAACGCTAACAATTATAGGCGTAACCAAATTTCTTACCACGATTGATAACATTTTCAACTTTCAACTTATTTTTGTTATCGTCCTTATTACTTTGAATCATATATCATCTGGATTCCATGTAAATTTTCCAGATATCGAAGTAAGAATCATTTTGCATATGATGTAACAAACTTTATTATTATTTTGTTATATTAAGTTTATGTTTGTTTGATTTGCTCCAAGTTTACTTTCATTTCTGATATGGAGACCTTTTTACACAGGTTAGACAATTAGTTGCAACTGCCATCGTTTTGAAAGGACTTGGTGCTATTTTATTTGTACTTGGTCATGGATTGGGAGCATTGTTCCTGGTTAGAATTTCATCTCTTTTCAGTTTTTATTTTGATTACATTCAAAGTTAAGAAGGATTTCGAAACTTCACTTTGCAGTTTCTTCTGATTCTGTTTTCATGTCTCCTTTAATGGTCATATCTTTTTCCATAGTTTGTCTACTTGCTGGTTAGCACTCCGCTTCTCTATGACTTCTTCAATTATAGTCCAGACGAGCCCCAATACAATGTTCTGCTCGGAGATTTCTTGCAGGTATTTACAAATGCATACCTAAAGTTGTGTACCTAGGCATTATGATGCGAGTACTTCACTGATCTTTCTCTTTTAATCAATCACAGGGTGTTGCACAATGCGGTGCATTAATTTTCTTTATGGGGATGAAGAACTCACTGCCAAAGAGGCTTTGATTTGTGGTTCTCAGAGTCTTTTGGTTGGGTATTTAACCTTTTTCCATGAATGATCCTTATATGAACTAAAGTGTCTAGTTTCAATATTATAGGAAAATATCCAAATTATGTATTCAGTTCACGATGATAGTTGTAAACTCTTATTGTAATTTTGAACATTTTTACTTTTTTTAATAATACTAGCAGTTTTTATTTAAAAAAATATTTATAAAATACTTTTAGGATTAATTATCAATTAATAATAATATTATATGTAATTTAAACTTATACAATTGTGTATTTATAATTTATATAACCAAACAGGACAATAATATGAATTAGGATATAATTGCATTAGAATTTTCAAATATGTATACGTAATTAGAATTTCTAATAATTACATGAGATTATAAATAATAAGATGGTGATTTTATTAATTTTTATACAATGACAATGTAATATTCAAACACACTCTTAATATACAACTTAAACTAAAAAATTAAATTGTATGTACGTATATATATTAAAGTTTAATTTGATTCGGTATTCAAATATCATGGTTAGGATTGGTAGAATATGCAACCAGTACGGACAGTTTACAGTGCTCTTTTTTTTTTATCGGAAATAAGATTTTATTAAAGATTAAAATATATAATCCTAAACCTAGGTTATAAGTTTCATTAAAAAAAATTAAACCTAATGAAGAAAACGAGTATTCTCCAAATATGGCATCCGCCGATCCCGGTGTTTGATGGACTGGTCCCATCCCGGTGGCAAATGGCATCCGCCGATCAGTCTTTACTTGGCATGAGAAATGGAGATGGTGAAAGTTACCCATACTACAGCCCAGAGTATCCGAATATGGCATGTGGCATCAATGACCACCGTATTCCGACCTTCGAATGGGCACTGAAAATAGGTAAACAGTGGAGTTTGTCTACAATTTTGAATGTTGCTTCTCTGATATAATAATTGATTCGAGGAAAATTGGATGGGGTCTAAGATTTGGAGTGAGTTTGTATTTTTCCCCCCCAAAGGAAAACATTTTGTAAAGGGTGTTCTTACGGCTGCCTTCTTTTTCTAGTTTTTATTAATCTTATTTTATATTTCTTTTAAGTAGTTCTTTGTTCCTGTTTAACGTATTTCTTTCCTTGAATGTTTTAAACAAGTGATTTCATCAGATAATATCATATTAGGTGTAATAGTATGGTACATAGGTTTATAGTGTTTTTTATTATTATGGGATGATCAGAATATATTATTTAATTAAGATATTTTTTAATCATAAACAATGCATATATTCTACAAATGTAGTTCCTTAAACATAAAATCTCAAGGAATGACAATATTCCTTTAAATCAGGTCACTCAATGGGTTTTAAATTTATAGGTTCAAAACTAGTCAATGAAATATTTAGACTTTTTTTTTATCTAATTGTACAGATGTGACATGATAATATTTTTTTATATTTTTCAGTAATTTTATTAATTTTATTTATCTAATAAAAGGGTAACATGTGTCAACATAACTTGCAAAGTCTAGGACTAGTACTCACGTCTACCGGTTTGAACAGGACGAAGCTTAACCATTGGGTCAAATGAGGTTTTTGATACATTCGAGTCTTTCTAAACGAATTTTGATAGGCACCAGTAATCTTGTTTTTTTCTTGGATGATGTCCTGAATGCCATTTCTCCTTGGTCTTTGTCCAATTCTGGAAGCATATTATAAAATTTTGTGACATGATTGGTGATGACAAATAATAAAATTAGAAACCTTATTGCGCACTTACAAAATCCTCGCGAAACTCTCCAAGGAAAATTAAAGAAGTCACTCTACTCGTGCTTAGCACACACGAATTTCACTTTCACCCCCTTCTAATCTCTCAATTCTCTTTATCTTTTACCGCTCGATTCTCTTGTCCAAGTCTTTGAATAGAACTCACTCAAAACTTGTCAAACTTGTCTTTGTCGGCTGTAAACTCGAGGTTAAGATAGGGTACAATATAGCTGATATGGTATGCTTAGAAGAAATAGATGAATAGAAAAGGGGTTAACTTGCACGAAACAACTCACACTTGTTCGAGCCAATCAAACCTGATTTCTTCTTTAAGCCTGGTTGTTTGCTTTGCCCTTCATTAAACCCTTCTTGTATTCTTTTCTTTTCTAAAATATTTTTTTCTGTATTGAATCCTCTCTTTAGATGTTGAGGAATTATTTTCTCTTTCTTTTTCGTTTTGCACAAAAAACTTAAATTCACAAAGGATAGACACTTGATTCAACCAAAAACCTCTTATTACAATATAATAGAAGGAACTCTTGGAAGAATGTTGTCCAAGGTGTTTCTAATTGTTGTCCCGATCTTGAATGCAAGTAAGTCGAAGCCTCGTAACACTTGTTTTGATATGAAATGAAAAAATAGGCTAGGTTTTAAGTAAGGTAGGCGTGTAGGGTGATAAGGATTATATGAAAGAAAGAAGTAAAGGATAGTATGCTTTGGATATATGTTTGGGCCATATAGGACTTGTTTAGGAAGATTGTGAAGGAATGATGATTAAAAGGATGATTAAGATGGGTATAGATGATGGTGATGTTAAGGAAGATTTAAGATCAAAGTAGAACCAATACTATAAAAGAGTATTAATTCAAACCTTATAAGATCTTTAATCTAAGGACTATGACACTCTAATTAGAAAATCAGTAATCAATAATATCGAGAAATAGGGGTTGACCACAAGCAATGCTTGATAAGTCAAGAAGTTCAAACAAGAATGTTGAAAAGGCACCCTTAAAGGGTGAATAAATGGTCGACCATAGGTGAAAAGAAAGGAGCATCTTTGAACCAACATGGTGCTAAGTGATGAATCATCTTCCTTCATTGTGTTTAGTGATGAATCATCTTCCTTCATGTTTTGTTGCTCATTTCTCTTGTTGAAAAGGGTCTTGTTTTGCTTGTACCTTTCATGAAATACCATCTTTATGAAGGGACATATATGGAGAATCATGTCCCTTGAATTGGTTTCTTTTCATGAAAAGGTGTGATTAAACATCGTGACCTTTAGAAACACCTTTGAGATGAAAATGTGTCTCTTTTACCTGCACCTTTTTGGAGTGAAAAAGCATAACTTCTGGAAACACTTTTTGGTGAAAAGACGTGACTTTTGAAGGCATCTTTTTGGAATAAAGAGGCATGACCTTTAGAGGGCCTTTTGGAGTGAGGAGACATGACTTTTGAGGGCACCGTTTTGTGAAAAGACATGACTCTTGAAGGCATCCTTTGCTGAAGCATCATGACTCTCGGAAAGACATCATTTGGTGAAGCAAAATGACTCTTAGAAAGGTATCATTTGGTGAAGCAACATAACTCTTCTCATTAAAGTGCACAATCCTTCGTTACATCATGTAATCGTTGGAGTGAAGAGATGTATCATTTCCCTTGCTAGCCGTTGGAATGAAGAGATGACTCTTCTCCCTTATAGCCGTTGGTAGCATAAAGAAGCATGACCTTTGGTTTGAAATTTGCACCTTTTATTTATCTTCTAGCAGTTGGAATGGTAAGGCACCTTTTAATCAACATAAACAACTATATAATATAAAGTAAGGGTAAATTACTAATTTAGTAATTGAACTTTATTTTCTCTCATATTTCATTCATTGTATTTTAGATCTTTTCAATTTTATCATTGAACTTAATATATTGGGTTTTTTGTCACTCAGATGTTTTTCTCATGAATGGCTTTATAAATGAGTTGTTATATAAATGCAAAATGATGTTGTTTTGGTGATTTTTTTTAAAACGACGTTGTTTTAACGTCATTAACTATTTAACGGTGCAGTGACAAAAAATTTTAATGTATTAAGTTCAGTGAAATAGAAAACTTTTAAGTTCAGTGAGAAAAATAGGGGAGAGAGTAAAATTTAATGATGAAATTTGTAATTTACCCATAAAGTAAAGAACATATATATATATATATATATATATATATATAGGAATGCACACCTAACCTAAGCAACATGCATCATATATATATATATATGAAATGTATAACATAAGAAAGAATATTCAACCTAATATGCAACATATAATATAAGCAATAAATAAAGATGTGAAACTATATGTTATGTTATATATATATATATATATAATATGCAATTCATAGCATATAATAAATGTAAATACATCATGATAGATTAATATGTAATATGCTATGACATGTATATTTGAACTTATACTAAGATGCTTATGTGTGCTCATAAATGAATATAATGCATATATGATATAATATAAGATAGAATTAAGAAGAATTCACTCTACTTTTACCCTTAACATCTTAAAAGGTGAAAGCAAAAATTTGATAAGTTATTTGCTAGACTGGATCACATCACGTCTCTTATGAAATTAGCTTTTTGACTAATATTGAATCGAGACCACTGGGACACAGTGGTGCGTGCTAAGTATGGAATAATTGATCCTACCCCGGCTAATATATCAAGGAGGGGAATGCTATAGGCTTTGGAAGGGTTTCACGTTGATTTGGGAGGAGGTTCAAGAGGGTTTGGTATGGAATTTAGGGAGCGGTGCCACGTTAGACTTTTGGCGAGACCGTTGGCTGAGTAATGTTGGTCTCTTGTGGGACATACGTAATCTCGATGGGGTGGTGGAGGATCGTAGGTGGCGGTCAGTTCCATGGTTAATGCCAATGGTGAATGGGATTGGGAGCAATTTAAGCACTCTATCCTCGATATTGTTTTGTCGTCTTTTGCGACTGTCAAGACTCCTTTGCGGTTGGATGGTCCGGACACACTGGGCTTGTTATGGGATTTTAACAGGAGGTTTATGTTGTAGAGTGCGTATAAAAAAATGAGAGAACATTGGCACTGAACCAACAACGCATATGTAGAGTTTAATCTCCAAGTATCGAAGGTTGCCTCAGGTGCATTTGTTATTATGACTAATCTGCCAGTGACGGATCTTAACAAATGAGGAGCGAATTCGGCGGCATGTGGCAGATTTTACAAGTTGTGTTGGTTGTGGTGAGGGGGGCGGATTTTTTTTTTGTTTTTACTTTATTCAATTTTAATATTATATAAATTAAAGAAACGTCACTATTTCAAAAACAAAATTTATTTTAGGAGTGCTCAAGCCAAAGATTTATAATGTTTAATGATACAATTTCTTTAAAAGCAAAGTAGTTACATCCAAAAGAGTATATTGCACATAATCTTATATATAGATCAGAAGTAGCTTCTTTCCTTCCAGAAACCTCGAAGGAACTGCCTAAAACCGTTTTTATCTCTCTTCACTCATCTTTAGACTTCAAGAAAACCCAATCTCAAACAATTTCTCAAATAAACTGAGAAGGTATTCATGGCGACGTATGAACAAGAAGATAATCCCATGGATCAGTTCCCAATAGATTCAAGCTCTTACAAGATCACCGATGAAATCGCTGTTGGTGTCAGTGCTGTAGTTTACAAAGCCGTTTGTGTTCCCATGGATTCAACTATTGTTGCCATTAAAGCCATTGATCGTGACAAGTGCACCAACGATTTCGACAATCTTGGACGCACAATGTCGCTTGTTTCGCACCCCAACATGCTCCGTGCTCATTGTTCCTTCACCGTCGACCACCATCTCTGGGTGGTTATGCCCTACATGTCCACCGGTTCTTTACATTCCATCCTCTCATCTTCTTTCCCTGATGGCATACCAGAGCAATACATGGCCATTATTCTCAAGGAAACCCTCAATGCGTTGTCGTATCTTCACAAAGGAGGGCATATACACGGAGATGTGAAGGCTGGTAATATCTTGTTGGACTCTAACGGATGCGTTAAGCTTGCCGACTTCGGAGCTTCGGCCACGGTTTACATGCCGAAAGCTCCATTTCTGAACTGGGAGGCGCCGGAGATGATCAAATCACATGAAGTTTCCAGTTTTGAAACCGATATATGGTGTTTCGGTATAACTGCTCTTGTCTCGACCAAGACGTTTTCAGAGGCTTTTGAGGATATGGTTACTTCCTGTCTCGATAAAGATCCTTCAAAGCGACCCTCGGCGGATGAGCTTTTGAAACATCCATTCTTTGAGGGTTGCAAAGATACTTCTGAGTTTCTTGTGGAGCATTTGTTGCATGGATTGCCTAGTGTTGAAGAAAGGTTTAGGGCAAGCAAGATTGTTCAAGCCGACGGTCAAGATTGTTCAACATCTGATGATCATAAGCTCCTTAGGCTTATGATGTCGTTGTTGATGGATAGTGCAGAGAACTTCGACGATGACGACAAGTCCGAGCTTGGCTCCGGTGAGTCGTCACAGGCCGGATTGGAAGGCACTGAGGGGCATGATGAAAACAATTGAGACTATAAGGGTGTTGTTTTCTTGCTTATTAGAATCTGTTGTTTGTTTTGTTCAGAACTGATCTGATTTGTATGCATAATTCTTTGTGGGTTGATATGACCAACTAATGTCCTTTCAATTTTCCAAGTTTTGAAATCGAAGGAGGAGGTTAAGGGATTATTTTGTCCATTAATCTCATTTAGGCCTTAGTTCCAATGGTTCAATTTTAGTATTCCAAATATAATCAAATAAATTAAAATATTAATTATATATGTCGTTCTTGTCATCTTTCTAGTTAGACGACGTCATTTTTGTCATCAAGATCGCGATTTGTAGCATCGAGTTTGTCTAGGGTTGCGTCGCTCCTATTTCTGTGGATTTTCATGAGGTTATTGGTCGTCGGGTGGAGGTTTGATGGCGACAAATGACAACGACTAACATGGGTGTAGGGATTGAAATTAAAGTTTTTAAAATTTTAAGGCTTTTTTAAAAAATATTTCAAAAATTTTGGGTTTTTAAAATATAATTTTATTTTTTTATTTTAAATAAAATTTTTAAAATTATATGAACATGACACATGTCATTTGATAAGGCTTTTTAACGACGACTACAGACGAGATACCTAAAGTGGTAACGTCAATAAGGTTAAGCATATGAACTAATAAAAAAAGTTTAAGTTCTACTTTGAAAAAAAATATAATTTGATAACTTATTTCTCTATTAAGTTTTTTTACAGTTAAAATTTTCGTATTATATTTAAATAAATGAAAAATAGTATTATTTTAATAAATTTGCCTATTAATGGTCTATTATTATTCGGGCGTAAGAAAAATCGATCTATATATAAATGCAGAAACTCCATCAAATATAAAATTGAAGCGCCATCTTAGCGTAGGACATCCACCGCGAGAAACAAGACAACAACCACTCTACGCCGTCTTAACCGCCATTCTCTTCCAACATATGAACTACCTTTCACTTGGCTAGAATCCTCCAAATCCTACGAATATAAACCCCCCCTTCAAAACACAAGACAAAACTCCAAATTAACCGCTGCAACCTCCCTGTCCAAACCCTAACCACCGGCGCCCTCTTCCTCCACGTTGCTACGGTGAGTTTGTTTGATTTTTCTTTTAATTACACTTGTCTAATTTTCTAGCAATATATGATGTCATAAAAGTTCATTCAATTAAAATTTTCCTTAACTCTGTAGGAAAATGCTTTCTGGGGTTAGGATTGTACCTCGTGATCAGATTGATAAGGTATAATCTTCAATTTCTTTTTCTTTAGCTATTTTTATTATTAAAGTTTGCTCAGTTGATTTTTTGTTTCTCTATATTTGGCACTAGGAGGAAGATGAAAAAGTATGGTAGTAAAAAGGAGAAACATAAAAGGAAAAATAAAAGTTCTGTGTATAGTGATTCTTCTGACGATGATCTTGAGAGAATAGGAAAAGGGTCTAGAAGAAATAAGAAGTGGTATTCATCTGACGAGTATTCGGGCAAAAGCGAGAGCGAAGGGAGTTCTGATTCGGATAAAAGAGGCATATGAAGAGGAGAAAGGATAAGAGAGGTAAAAATGATAGTTCAGGGGATGAACTAAGCGGTAGATCTAAGAAATGGTCAAGACGGAAGAAGAAACGATATTCTCCGGCATCTGAGGAATATTCATCTGAAGATGAGAATCAAAGACGAAATTCAGGAGTTGGAAAGAAAAAGGGTAGGGGAAGACAATTTTTTGTTTTGAATGATTGATTATAGTTCATTTGGGACATTTATCAATTATTATTATTATTATTATTATTATTGCTTTTGATTTGCAGATGATGGTAGAGAATATTCTTCTTTGAGAGAGAATGAGATTGAAAGGAAAGAAATTGGATTAGAATGGATGCTTAAACCTGCATGTAAGCCTGATAAGAAACCTTCAGAGCCTGTTGAACAACCTGAGGAGCCTCCTACTGAGGAGGTACAACACTTGTGCTATTATTATAATGTCTCTTTTCCCCTTTTATTTTTTTTGACAAATGCTTGCTGCCGGAGATATAATTTTTTTTACTTTAAAGCAAAAGAATATCTTATCAGTTTTTAAGTTCCTTTCGTGTTTGGGAAAAGATTCCTACTCTTTATATGAGGATTTGATGAGCTTCATTCTCTTGTATATTACTGAAAATTGCTTTAGTTATGTTCCACATAGGAGTGTTCGAAGCAAGTTTGATTGTATATCATGATTCATAGATGCATGGGTTATGCATTCTTTAGTTTCTGCCTTTGTATTTTATGAGTGTATGAATTTTTAGGTGACAATAGTACAAATACTTTTACCAGATAAAGACGATGCATCCTAGAGAGTTGAATCCATATCTGAAAGATAATGGAACTGGTTATCCAGAGGAAGCCGATGAAAAGAGAGCTGCTGCAGACAAGCTTTTATCTTCTTCAGTTGTGGGGGATGGAGGTGCTAGTTGGAGACTTAAAGCTTTGAAGCGTGCAGAAGAGCAAGCCGCTCGAGAAGGACGAAGCATTGAGGAGGTAATGTTTCTGCAGTCTTTACTAATCTTCAGGGAAAATTGTATCATGGAAGGGTGCTGTTCTTTTTACAGTAGAAAGCATGATTCAATTAGCCTTTACTGTCAAAACTATACAGGTTGTGCTAGAACGTTGGGGTTCTCTTGATATATTGGCGGAGTATGGAGCATCTCGTAGAGCTGCTGCACCTCGAGCCCATCTGCATGCTATAAGAAATAGAAAGCAGGGCCCAGATGATGAGAAGAAAAATGTTGCAGACAATCCGAGTGAAAGAAATTCTAAAAGGGTACTTGCAATGACACCTAGCTCGGTTTCACAATATGTTAGTTTAAATGAACAAAAAGTAATGCTTGCACTCCAGTAATCAAGCAACATTAGATGTTCTAATCTTTCCTATGGTTTTGATTGCCAGAACACTACTCGAGACTATCTGCGGGATGTATCTCTTCGACATTCTGAGATGAGGGCCCCAAAAGTCCGTGATTCATTATCTTGGGGAAAACGAAAACACCAAAATAGTCCTGCTAAAAGTGCTGTTGCTACATCAACTGCAAATAAGTTTACCGATGATGGAAATTTCATGCAAGAATTTCTTCATAAGCAGGGGAATGATGCTATTGCATCTGGTTCACATGCAAATGATGATGGAAATGTGGTTTCCAAAGTTATAGCATCAGAGACTAACGAACGTAGTGAAGCTACTTCAATTTCAAAGGAAACTTTGAGCATAAATCAATTGGCAGCTAAGGCTTTGCAGCTTCAGTTGAAGGGAAAGCATGAAGAAGCTGAGAAACTTCTGGTAAGACAACTTCTTGCATTCGTACAGTACATTGATTTAATTGAGGAGTTTATTGATCCAATGCTTACTGATATATATCAAAGTTTTGTTATTGCATTATTTAATAGAAAGATAATCTGAGGCAAATCCTCACATGTTGAGATTATAACGGTCAAATGTTTTCTGGATCTTGAAAGTATAGTTAGTTAAAGCCTTTTGTTGAGGTGTACTACAATCTGTTGTCTAGGTATTAGAACCCTGTTTAACTTTACAGAACTAAAAAGTCGTAAGTTTTAGTTGTTTCCATATACACCTTATGCATTAAATAACTTGGAACATTGCTTTTCTCTCCTATTTAAAGTTTTAAGTATGGGGCTTAAGTTTTTCTGTGGTTAATGTAATTTGTTTTGGTGGTTTGTTTTTTTTATTAGCTGGAAGTTGAGAACTTGAAGGCTAAGCAGAGCACTGGAGATCATGCCACTAAGCAGCAGAATGTTGACAACATACGCAGGTAATTTTTCATCTTTATATTTCATTGGTATTCCCAATTCTGAAACTTCTGTTTCAAATGAGCTTAATGTAGTGAGCTTATAGCTCTCTAAGAGACTATCATTCAGTATTTCAAACGTAGTAAATTGCAAAGTGTTTAGTCTTTCTTTTCAGTGACTTTTTTAATAAAGTAAAAAAACGAATTCCCTTCTGTAACGTTGCATTCTAACTTCCATTTCAATATCCTTTTACATTTTTTCCCTTTGCATCTTACAAATAATTCTTCTCTTCGGATAATAATTTTTTTATTTTATCTAGATTTGTAGTTCATGATGAATCGGTTAGGAAAGGGAAGGATGATGATGATTCTGATAGGCATCTAGCCCGAAGAATAATGCAGAACAAACAATTTAGTTTATCTGGTCAGGCAGATGATGAATATGACTATGAAGATGGTCCAAGCAGGAAATCCCGAAAGAAGGGCGGGGCAAGCAATCAGAAGGTCTCTGGAAACAATCATTTGGCTAGGCGTATATTGACTCAGCAAGAGCGCTGTCTGTTCTGCTTTGAGAACCCCAACAGACCAAAGCATCTTGTTGTTGCTATAGCGAATTTCACATACTTGATGCTGCCTCAGTGGCAGCCTGTTGTGCCAGGTCACTGCTGCATCTTACCAATGCAGGTACTCTGTCTATGGTGTCTTCATCGATCTCTTTGCTATAGTGCTTAAACGTTAACTACATCAGACTTGTTATAAAATGTGATCTTTTTAACTGCAGTTCATGGCTTTAAAGGATTTTAGTATTATTAATAGGGTCTTTCCATTTGCATTTCATGCCACCTAACCTAAATAGTATTGATTTTGATATGTGAAGCATCATGATGCATTGATTTTATGTGGGCTATACTGTTTGGTGTATCCTTATTCAGAATGCAAACTCTTTTTCCCTTGACAGCATGAGTCGGCCACGAGAACAATCGAAAATAATGTGTGGGATGAAATTCGCAACTTCAAGAAATGCTTAATTATGATGTTTGCCAAGCAAGATAAGGAGATGGTTTTCTTGGAAACTGTGATGGGATTGGCACAACAGCGTCGACATTGTATGATCGAATGCATTCCTGTGCCACGGGAAATTGCAAAGCAGGCTCCAGTGTATTTTAAAAAGGTAAGGTTCTCCTATTCATTATATCTATTGACATTTGTGTCCAAAATAGTTCACATT